ATGAAGGTATATATTATAAAATTTAAGAAATATTTATTCAAAAAACAAAAAAAGTCAAAATTAGAAAGTTATATCGTTTGATAATTAGAGAAGACTTAACTTTAATTTCTTATCAATTAATAAAAATCAAAATGATGAACATGAGACAGTTAAGCACGAGAAACAGTTTTATGAGTAACTATCTTATTTAATAAAATACAAAAATAATTACAATGAAATATTTTATTAGAATTAGACATGAGTGGGACTAATTGTTTTTAGAATCGAGATTATCTTACTCATATCTATTTACAACACATAAATCTTGACAGTATGACATTCGATGCAAGTTTTACACGACCATAAAAGGTATCTTCTTTAATGAAATAGTGTTAGTTCCAATCCCATTTTTGCCCATATCTAGTTAGAATATCTGAATGATTTAGCGAATGTTTTTCAAAATGTTGATTTTTTTCTTCTTGTTTTGTGGTGATTGGCCAGCATTAATTTATAACATATGGATTGGTGTGAGTGTGAATTTTCTATTCATTTTCACCGCTACACCTCTACAGCATTAGACATTCCGCATTGTCAATAGACATTAATTTTTTTGTGCTTACCGTTTACCAATTTGCAATTAGTATAGAGGAATTTTGTTATACGAAAAGTATAATGATGATTACTAATAAAAATCTATGGAATAGAGTTAATCAAGGTTTTTCTTCAGTAATTATTTGACACCGTCCTAATCATAATTGCTTTAGCTCGGTCTTTTTATTTTAATACGTATATTGAAGACTCTCTGTTCGAAAAATTATCAATTTAAAAATTTCATTAGTTTAGTTACATCATCAGATTTATTGATAATCTTTCTATGTTTCTCTTTTTTCTTTTAAATTTATCATAAGTTTTAACTCAAATATTTGCTGAAGTAAAGACTTTGTTAATTATCTTTTATTTAATTTTTATTATCAAACGTATGCTCTAAGTAAAATTTCTGTTAGAATTTTTTTTTTACATTGTTTCGTTATAATTGTTCTTCGATAATGCTTATCTTTTGTCAGCAAGTCATGACATGAGTTTATCTTCTAATGTAAGTTAAATGAGAACTTTGACAGTATCATTTCTTACGAGTAATATGTTAAACACAAAACTTATGAGGGAATCATCTGAGCGGTACCTACCGTTCGAGCTCATAGTGGGCTTATAGGAGCGTGTTCAATATTTCGACACAAGAACATCCTTTTCAGAAGAAACTTTTAGGATCTTCCATGAGTTATTCGGCCTTTATACGAGTCAAATTTCTCGTCTAAACTCCGTTTTTTATTTTTTATTAAATACCTAAAGCTGAGTCGAAAATTTAGTAAAACGATCATTACTCGACTCCAAAGGCTCATAGGAACGAATCCTTTTAGACTTTTTCTAGTCCTAACAAGACCTCCTTGTGAATCCAATTCGTTAAGAACTGCTTAAACAACAACCGAAATACTAGACACGATCTAAACTTGTTGAGTAGTTTTCGAACGTTCGGATTCACTGGATGTCTAACTAAAATGACATCCTCAATTTACAATAAAATAGACAAATTCATTACTCATAATGATAAAATGAATAAATGAAAATTCTAGTTTAATTTTACTGAAGAACAGAATTGAATTTGAACTTTGTTTCGATCTGTATTAATAATTAATTTATTTTCTTTTAAGCTCGTGTATCAGTTCGATTATTAAATCGTGAAGAAGCGTTAAGTGTATGTGTAATAACATTTGCTGATGATCTTTCAACACCATATATTGCAATTGGTACAGCAATTATATTTGAAGATGAAGATACACCAAAAATTGGTCGTATAATTTTATTTCGTTATAAAAATGGTCATTTAAATATGATTACAGAAAGAGAAATAAATGGTCCACCACATGCTATGCTAGCATTTCAAGGCAAACTTCTTGTTGCTGTTGGAAGTTCTGTAAGAAAACAAAAAAAAATTTTGTTTTTTTTTAAATATAAAAATTTAGATTCGTTTATATAAATTTTCACCACAAACTCATGAATTAACGCAATTAACACAATATTTAGGACATATTGATTGTTTACAAGTTAAAATCAAAGATGATTTTGTTTTATTTAATGATTTAATGAAATCAATAACTGTATTACGTTATAATGTTGATGATGGAAAATTTGAAGAAGTAAAAAAAATGAATCTTTAATTGATAAAATATAAAATGAAATTTTATTTTATTTTATTTAGATTGCTCATGATGTTAGTCCACAATGGTCAACAGCATGTGAATTTTTTGATGATGATACATTTATATGTGCTGAAGATGGAGGAAATTTAATATCATGTCATAAAGATAGTGGTTCAACAAAAGAAAATGAAAGAAATATATTAAAAGAACTTGGATTATGTCATTTAGGAGAAAATATTAATGTATTTCGACATGGTAAATATTTTTTTATATATTCGAATTATATGTAATTCAAGATTTTTTGAATAGTTTTCGATAGAAATCTGCGATCGAGAGATCTCTGAAAAACTCTTGAATAGAACAAATTAGACATGGTAGCTTTACGTGAATCGAAAGAGAACGATTTTTTGTTTCTATCAAATGATCATAGCACAAGTCGAAATATAATGGGATAAGTTTCTAGAAAACTATATTTAAATTTGAGATGGTTTGATAGTATCTGATGTTCTCTTTTGAATAGTAAAAATCACAGATCTCTATCTGATTCTTATCGAAAATTATTCAGAACATATCGATCAATCTTATATTTTAGTTAAGACTTATGAGAAAAATCCTTTTTTTCAGACGTTTCGTCAAAATTCAATTCTTTGTGATTTATCATTATCAAAAATTCTTTTAAAATATTTGTATATAAATAATTTCAAAAGTAAACTATGACATGAGAATAATATCTCGAAAATCATTTCTTAGCTGAGTGACATCACGATATGAACATCGTACTTAAAGACTTCCTCCCCTCAAAAATCGTTCTCAGCCCAGATATGTACAAATGGTATGAAATTTTCAGAATATGTTGGGACTGTTGTGGAAAAGCTATGGTAAAATTTTCAGCCCTGTACCATAATGTTTCAGTGAGATACTGACCAAACAAGGGTCAAAAATGACAAATCAAATTTCTCAGTCCAGGTCCGTGTGATGTATTTAAATTTTTTTTTTTGTTTGAAAGAGCATGTCAGGATGCAGTGCAGTACAGGGCCCTTTTTTTTAGGGAAAAAAAGGAATCGAAAGTTCAATGACTCAAAAAATGGGTATCGAGTTATATAAGTGTCTGTATATATAATAAAAAAAACGCGCTCTGTACTGCACTGCGTCTGGAGGCGCTCTTTCAAACAGAAAAATAATAGATACATTCAATGAGTATCGATAGAGAAATTTGGTATGCGTGCTCAAGAAACTATAAACTGAGAAAAAAAACGAAAAAGATTTTCAGTTTTTTCTGAAAATAGCTTATTTTTCGAATAGGAGGTGACAGAAATCTTGAAAAATTTTCGGAAAAAAACGAAGTTCTGAATAAAAGTTTTTGTTGTTTATGAAAAATTAAATGACGGACTATCTTTCTATGCATTTATCTTAATTTCGACTATTCTGACGAAAAGCGACCTTTTTTTTTTAGGGAGAGGAGGCCTTAACAAATATGTTCGATTCTTAAGCAAAAAAACTGAAATATGCCAAAAGTATCAAGTCTCTGTGTCCTAAAAATTCATTTGATTTTACTCGTCATATGTTTAGCAAAATAATTGTATATGCTTTCTGAAAAATTTCGTTTCATTATTGAGAAAATTGATCTTTTCGATATGATAGTAAAACGTCATAAATACAGATTCGTATTCAGACGTTTTGACTACCAGAACTGCAATTCCAAATGAAACGAACATTCTATGTAGAATCAGAAGAGAAATTTGCATCGACTAGTAAACTCAATATATAAAAACAACTTTTCGTCAAATTTCGGTTGTGATATCCAGTCACGGTTATTTTCGAATAGTCTGACATGTCGCTTTACCTAAGGTTGAAATTTAATGGAAACTAATTTTAACGATTACGTGTACTATTTGATGCTCTTTTACAGGGTGCTAATACGAGAAGCGCCACACGTGTACATTATTATTTATGGCTATATTATCTCACAGATAGGTGTTTTTCAGAGTATTTTTTTGCGAATACAGAAATATGAAATGTAAAAAAATTTTTCAAAAGTTTAACCTAAAAGTCGGATTAGAAGACCCAGGGTCTTCTATAAGCATTGAGTGATGGTAAAGTGAGCAACTAAAATCTTGATCCTTTACTTGTTCATGTACATTAAAAGCTCATAAAATAAATATTAATTATTTAAATCTATTCATTTAATCATAAATATAGGTTGTCTTGTTACACAACAAACAGCTGAATCAACAATATCAATTGAAACATGTACTTTAATGGGTGGTGTATCAGGTTATATTGGTTTACTACTTCAATTAACATCAACATTATATCAATTATTAATGTCATTACAATTAGCTTTAGCTGAATATGTTCCAAGTGTTGGTAAAATAGATCATGGTGCATGGCGTTCATTTGAATCTGATGGACGTTCAGATGTATCATGTGGTTTTGTTGATGGTGATCTTGTTGAAACATATCTTGATTTACCAAAATCAGTTCAACAAGAACTTATACAAGATTTACGCGTATGTTTATTTCGAACAAAAAAGAAAAACATATATAATTTTTTTTTCTATTTAATTCTAATCCTTTTTTCTTTTATTTATTAAAGGGAGAAAATAATATTCCAATAAATACAACTGTTGAAGAACTAGTCAAAATAATTGAAGAACTTGCACGAATACATTAAACTAAATATATAATATACATATTTTTGCTTGTGTGTGTGTGTAATTCCTTTCTTTTTTTTGTAACCCTTGATTTAATCATAAGAAAGTCTAGCAAAAAAAAAAAGAATATATATTCTCTATACCTGTATTAAAAAAAAAGTCATTATTTTAGATGGTTTTATTGATTAATGAGTATGTATATTCAAAAAAATGTTCACTTGAAGATCTAGAAAAACATAATGATTTAATTCAAGTTTCATATGAATTAGCTTCATCAAATGAATATAAACAACCCATAGAAGAAATATCGAAAACTATTTATATTCATCAACGTGAATTTGGTGTTCTAGCAAAAAATGATCCAAATGGTTTTTATTTAATTGGAAGTGATAATGCAACAACATGTCATATACTTGTACTTGATAATCAAGTTGCTGTTGCATTAGCACATTTAGATGGAGCTAAAACACATGAAAGTATTAAACATATTTTACAAGAATTAATAAAATATTCACCAGAAAATGTAGACTATGATGTTTATATTGTTGGTAAGCAAGGAATATTTCATAAATTATCAAAAAATAACAAATCTCAAATTGATACTAATTTTGAAAAACGAGTAGAAAGTTTTCACTGCAGAACGCGATATATGTATAACTTCTATTGCGTACAGGTAAATTGTCAATAGATGGTGCCACCTTCGATGCACTCTGCAGTAGCTGTGGCGAAGGTGCAGCTAGCTGTGGACATGTCAAATAGAACTTGATAATACATGCATCGTTGGATAGAGGAAGTCTTCTTTTACCACGATACATATATCCTGCTCTGCAGTTAAAAATGACTATAAAAGTTATAGTTGCCTTTATACTCATAGAGGATATGTCATGAGACTTTATTGAAAATTCCACAAACAGAATAGTATGGATTCCAGGATGATAGGTTGGTCTAGTCCGATCTGATACACTCAGACCAAATTCAGATGGATTACATACTGTGTGAGGATGATCGTAAGAGTGCGTCATTGGAGTGGAACGAATAGTCGCTGTTACTGTAATCGATGAAATACTAGTATCAACGAAATAGTATGACTCGTTCTTTATATCTAATATCTGCTTTTCTGTTATTTATCATAGGTTAATTTTTATGAGAAAAAAACAGAAATCAGCAACTAGAGATTCAATAAATGTTAATAACACTTTCAGATCTGTCACGACTTCTAGGTTATCTATAGAAAAGAGAAAGTTTCCTTACAAAAAGAAAGCAGGTAACACGGCAGTTGAACCTAACAAGAAGAACTATGTGAAAATTCAATTTACAAAATACAAATCATTATTAAGATTGAAAATTGAACAAAACTGTTGATCTTTTGAAAAAATTATTTTTTGTTTGCCTATCAGAAACAGTGATCATACTTTTTGTTCTTCGTTGTTTCAGATTGATATCTCCCTACTGTTTAATCGGTTTTGAGTTGAAATTATATGCTCTATATAGACTCTAGCGAGCTGTAAATACCCTGAAAAGTGCTCAGGCTCTTTGCTTATTGCTACGGAGATACTGCATTTGACTCAATAAAGTGTTTCCCTCCGAAAAACTCATTTTCGAATATCGACTTGAAACTTTCCATAGAGACTGAACTCATCGAGAATAGTTTATTGTGAAAGTTTCAAGTACTCTTGTTGTTCCTATTTTAAGATACACCTTATGATAAAAGCTTATCTTTTACACTGTTCGTATATACCGGCAGAGTTGATATTCTTAATTCAAGAAAGAAGTCAATCAAAGGACCGAAAACTTTCACAATAGACTATTCTCGTTAAAATCTGTCTCTGTACAAAGTTTCAAATCGAAACTTATCAACGAATTTTCTTCCTGGAAAAGAGCACAGTATTGATTTGAAAAAAAAATCGTAAAAATGCAGTAGTTTAGCAGCAATAAGCTAAGGGCTGAAATTCTTTTCAGAGTATTCAATAATTCATTAGTGTCTATATGATGCACATTGTTCAGACTCAAAAGCAATTAATAAGTTGGAGAACTTCTTTCATTAGTCAAAATCTAATATGTATTGCGAACAGAAATTTTTTTCTTATTTACTAATATTCGATTTTATCTAAGTCTCGTCGTTAAGGTTGTTCAGAATGAAAACATAGTCATTGGCTTTTGACTCCGATTGCTATGGTGCGAATACAAAATACTGACTTAAAACGTACATTCACTATATTTTTCTTTCAAAAATATAATATTGGTTCGAAAAAAAGTGAAACATTGATGTAGAAAGTCTCACCTCACTGTCTGTTTGAAATCTATTCATAACATTGTCAGACCCTTTTTTTGTCTATGAAATGAATTGATTTTGCTTAAATATTTCTACAGAATATCTTCTCAACTATCTATCTCTTTTTTTTTCAAAAAATAATTCTAGGTGGTTTTCTCGATGGATCAAATCGACAATATTCTCGAACTTTAAGCAACGAAATCCTTCATATATTTTGTACAATACCAAATATTTCATTCCATCTTAAACTTGCAGCTATAACAACTTATAATGATCACATAGTTAATAATATTCATTATCCACATATATATGGTATTTGTTTTGATATCAATACAAAAAATATTCGTCAAATGGATTTTATTGATAATGGACCAGCATTCCGTTTACGTACAGTTTATCAATCAGCTAATAGTCATATTGCATCGTGTATTTATTCATCATTGAAAGGAATAATTGAAATTGAAAAATTTGATATAGATAAACAATTTATTAAACATTATTATAAACCTTTATATGAACAGTATTTTCATAATGATCAACAATTACTTAAAATGACATCAACATCACCTGAACAAGAACGAAAATCATATTTAATAAATATGAAAAAAACTATTTTATATATTTTAAAATATTATAAAGATATATCAAAATGGTTTGATGAACAAACACATTCAATTATCTATTATCGTTTAAATGATAGATGGATAACTGACAATAAAAAAATTATTGATGATATTGAAATTGAATAAATCTTTTTTTTTTTTAATATTCTTTTAGATTGAAAACAAAAACAAATGTGGAAACGATTTGTTGATATAAATAAACAACGTTTAATATCATCAATACAAATATTTAAAAGATTACAATCATCAACACAATATTATCCTATTAATGATGATGTTTATGGACTTACAGATGATCAAAAACAGGTTTTTTAAATAGAAAATTTTTTTTCTCTCTCTCTCTTCAATTTAATTTTTGATTATATTAGTTACGAGAAACTGTATTTGCATTTACACAAAAAGAATTAGCACCACATGCTAATAATATTGATCGTGATAATTCATTTCCTCAGCTTCGTGTAAAGTTTTAAAACTTAGACATATCTTTTTTTTTTCGAAAGAAATACTTTTTAGGAATTCTGGAAAAAACTTGGTGATCTTGGCCTTTTGGGTGTTACAGCACCTGGTAAATAAATATGAATTTTCTCTAAATATTATGATTTGAGTGTTGAACAAGTCAATGATATGTTCAGTTTTTTTATGTTAAATAATATTTCTATTAAGTCGATTGAAACTATATTTTTACTAAAATATAGCACGAATGTCTTAGCACTAAAAATATTCACTGATTGTTTTTTTGACCTCTAAAAGACAATACGTTAGAATTAGGATTTTCCTTCTGGGATGCGACTGAACAATTATCAGTAAATTTTGTGAAAAAAGTCAAAAATTATGTATGTACAAAGCAAAATAGTTGTTTTACCGCAAACCTTAGTTCGTGCCTTGAAACAGCTTCAATTAAAAATTATTGTAAAGCATTGAATGTTGCACACACCGTGGGATATTACAATAAGCGAAATCTCATACTATGTGTTTTCATTAAAGAACTAATATCGGCACCAGAAGTCAGTTGACTCGGATGTTTTTTGAATAACTTTCGATAGGAACAAGTTAGAGATCTGCAGTTTTCAGTAATCGATAGAAGATTATAGGGGACACATTTCTATATAAAAACCAAGGTTTGTATATAAAAATATGTCTCTTATAATCCTCTATCGATTACTGAAAACCGCAGATCTCCAACTTGTTCCTATCGAAAGTTATCCAAAAAATCATCCGAATGCACTGACTTCTGGTGCCGATATTAGTTTATATGGAAATCTTCATTGACTAAAAAATTCTTAAAATCTATCATACAAAAATTGAGCAAAACAATATTCGGTACAAACACTCTATCAACCACAGAAAATGTTTACTCGAGTGACTGCAAAGAAGAATTCGATATAATCAGGATTAGTCGTGATTAATTTTGATCTCAGTCATATTCAGGGTTCTCAATTAGAAGGGGATGGAGAGGGGTTCTCTACCCACTCCCTCCAATAATGTCTTACTGTTGCGAAAATTCTTAACGCATTCTGCCAAATTTTTACAGCATCGTGGTGAGACTCGGAGGACTGACGGCCTAGTAACGGGGATCGAGTTACGGTGAGTTTCGTTCTTTCCCTCCTCTCTTTTAGCATTCCAAGAATGAAAGCACTTTCTGTTAAATTTTTAGTCTCTCTTACTCCTAAAAAATATTGACAATCCTGGTCCTATCTATGTTTCAGAGGAATAAATTTTGATTATTCATTATAAAGTCTTCTCTACCATTTGACAAAAGAAGATCATAGATCTATATAAAACTTCTTATCATATTGATCTGAATAATATCGTTCACAGAAAAATATTCAATATTTTTTTCGATCTATTTTTATAAAAAACATAAAATTTGTTATCATAGTTGAATATGGTGGTTTGGGTTTACATTATACAGAACATTGTATTGCTATGGAAGAAATATCACGTGCAAGTGGAAGTATTGCTCTAAGTTATGGTGCACATTCAAATCTTTGTGTTAATCAAATTGTTCGTAATGGTAATGAAGAACAAAAACAAAAGTATTTACCAAAAGTTAGTCAATAATAATAATAATAATCACCATCATATATATATATATCTTTTCTCTTGTTCTATTTCTAGCTTATTAGTGGCGAGCATTTTGGTGCTTTAGCTATGTCTGAACCAAATTCAGGTTCCGATGTTGTTTCAATGAAATTACGCGCAGAAAAAAAAGGTTTGTTAATCTCTGTGAACCTTTAATCTACGTTTATACCTTACAGTGCCTTGCAGCTTGACATACTCCAATAAATAAAATATATAATATGAAAATCTTACATATAATTTTCATTTTTTTCAATTTGAATATTCGTTATCAAAAATAGATTTTGCTTGATGAAGGATACTTAACGATTTTCACTTATATGAATCATGTTTAGTAATAATCGACAAGACCTTTTTGTAAACAAATATTAAATAGTGTCGTTGTTTTTTTTTTCTAATTAGTCTAATATCATTTTGATATTTTCTATGTGTATATTCAAATAAGAATATCTATTAATTGATGTTTTATAAGTTGTTTTTTAATGAGTAGTATAAGTATAAAAAAGAGACGGTCGATTGATTTTTCAATGGCATTATTCGTTTTGAAGCATATCGTACAGAAGAAAACATACAATGATAGGAAATAATCTAAATTCCTATCCGCAGTATTATGGACCGGCAACATTGATTGGTTTACCGAATAATTCAAATCAAGGACCATCGTCTATTCAAGGTTCATTATATCAACAACAAAATTATCAACCGATAACTAACGAACGAAATATTAATAATCCTTCATCTTTTAAACTATATGATTTTGGTCGAAATAATCGATGTGATATAATAGATTTTATATTTTCTTTTGTTAATGTATCATTTAGTGATAAACGTATAAAAAAAGATGAATGGAATAGAGTTAAAAATCTAATACCTATTCAACAATTACCTATTTTACGTATTAATAATCAATTAAAAATCTATGATCTTAATGTAATTATACGTTATTTAGCACGAGAATTTAATTTATATGGTTCAAGAAATGATGAACATGCTATTGTTGATATGATTCTTGAATTAACACGTCAATTTCAAGAAAAATTTTTTGAACAAATTAATAAATCAATAAATATTGAAGAACAACAACAAAAAATACTTTTAACTCAATTTATTACTGATCATTCAACAAATTATTTAAATCAATTAGAAAAAAGTTATGAAATATTTCATTATAATGGTCCATTTTATTTAGGTTCACAAATTTCAATAGCTGATTTAATTGTTTATCAAACAATTAGTTATTTAATTAATATTGAACCAAAATTACTTGATAATTATCCTAATTTAAAACAAGCACGTTCTTATTTAGAAAAATATCCTCAATTAACTAATTATTTAAAGAAAAAAAATTTTAAAATAAAAAACAAACGTCATAAAACTGTACCACCAACATTACGTCAAGTAGATCATCATCATCGTCGACATCGATCATATGATGAACATAAATCTTCTCCTCGTCAACAACCGAAAGAACCAACATCTCCATTAAAATCAAAATCATCTAACTCTCAATCGATTGAAAAAAATCCAACACCTCCTTTACAAAAAACAGAAGAATCAAATTTATCTAGTAATCAATCAAAAAAAGAAGAAGAACCAATATCTTCATCACAAACAATTGAAGTTACATCATCATTATTAGATGTTATTCAAGAAAAATCTGAATCTTTTGAAAATTAATTAACTTTATAGAAATTACTTTAGTTAGAGAAATAGACTATAGTAAACTATGCTTTTTATATATAATCTCGCTTATTTCATATATGTAATAATATTTTCCATTCGATATAAGATTTGTTTAAAAGAATTTGTTTTAGTAGAATAATTGATATTTTTTGTACGATGAAAAGAAAATATTTTGATATTATTCGTATCCTTCCATACACTCCAACGTGCATCATAAACATAATTCTTTATAAGTGTAATAGATTGTTTTTTTATCCACTCATAAAGACTCATTTGAATGGTGATTAAAAACCGTGTACTCATAGGAATATGTACAATATTGGTTTAAATACTGAACAGCGAGTCATCAACACATAGCCTTCTGAGGCATGGACTACATTGACATCTGCGTTTGCTACAACATTGAGACACTTTGTAAACATTACAATAAAATCAAAATGGATACAAGTCATCAATGGACACTTTGAAAAGCTTTTCGTGTTACATTTAAGTTTCCACTATTTAATATACACACAGAAATCATGAGTTTCTGAATGAGATATCTATGAAAAAATGTTAATAGAAATATTCTATTAATTGTTTACGTATGGTAAAAGATTGTTCTACAATAGTAATAAATCTAAAGACTCAAGACTTCAAGATTATATAGGATTTCACTATTTCTCCCTTGACTACAATTTTTTGAGAAAAAAAAAATAGAATATTTCTTTTATCAATGTTTTTTGTTAAGGTGATTATTATATTCTTAATGGAAATAAATTTTGGATTACAAATGGACCAGATGCAGATGTAATTATTGTTTATGCAAAAACAACTCCAAATAGTGAAAAACCTCAACATGGTATATCAGCATTTATTGTTGAAAAAGTATTTAAATTATTTAAACAAATATAATATATTGTAGATTTTTTTGTAAAAATATTTTTTTTTTAGAATATGGAAGGCTTTTCAGCAGGAAAAAAACTTGATAAAATGGGTATGCGTGGATCAAATACATCTGAACTTATATTTGAAGATTGTAAAGTTCCAGGTAAAGAGATAAAATATTTCATCAAAATTGAACAAATTTTGTTTTTGTTTTTTTATAGCTAAAAATTTACTTGGTAAAGAAAATCGTGGTGTTTACGTATTAATGAGTGGTTTAGATTTTGAACGTCTTGTACTTGCTGCTGGTCCTGTTGGGTAAGATTTATATTATCAATTTCATTAAAGCTATATTTACAACAAAAATAAGCATTTCAATCTAAATTCGTATTTTTTTTTATACTAATATCCATTGAAATTCATAGTGATATATCAGAATCGTCTACCATTATATAAGTAAGAAAATGTTTAATCATCATATTTATCGTCTTGAAATTTTTAAAAAATGAAGAGTATAGTCTTAAACTATTGAATTTATTTTGTATTTCTAGTTTAATGCAAGCTTGTTGCGATATTACTTTTGAATATGCACATACTCGAAAACAATTTGGTAAACCAATAGGTACTTATCAAGTAAGATTATTTTTAGATTTTTATTTTATTTTTATAAAACTATTAAATAATTTCTAGTTAATACAAGGAAAAATGGCTGATATGTATACAACATTAAATGCTTGTCGTTCTTATTTGTATTCAACAGCAAGAGCAGTTGATAAAAATATTATAAGTAATAAGGTAAAAAAAAAATAATAATAATTTCTTTGTTTTCATTCAATAAAAATTTTTGTGGTTTTATTTTAGGATTGTGCCGGTGTTATATTATATTGTGCTGAAAAAGCTACACAATTATGTCTTGATGGTATACAAGTTCTTGGTGGTAATGGATATATCAATGATTATCCAACAAGTCGTATTTTACGTGATGCGAAATTGTATGAAATTGGTGCTGGTACAAGTGAAGTTCGACGACTTCTTATTGGACGTTCTATTAATGGGGAATATGGAATAAAATCCTAAATATCAAAAAAAAAAATATATATATTTTTCCTTAACATAAAGCAAAAAAAAACATCTACATATCTCTAATGATAGTGTTTTGCGAATCTCATTTTTCACTTACAAAATGATCTTCTGTCAAAAAATAAAAAAGACAGAAAGAGAAAGATCGACATTGATCATTGAACATCAAATAAACAGAAATTTTTTTGTGTCCAAGAAAAATCTTATTTAACGATCAACTACAAATCAAAATAAGTATATATATATCGATGACTTCAATTCATTTTTGGAATTTTCGCAATGATAGATTCTTTTTAGTGTAGTTTTTCTTCATGTGAAATCATAAAGCCTATTTTCCGTTTTTTTATGCTAACTTTTACCCATCAATGTTCACATTATCAACCATTTCAATGTGCTTTCGAATCATACGTATCTCAAAACAACATATCGTGAAATTCATATTTATAAGATGAATATGTGTTTTTTAAATCATAGATTATCTTTTTTATCTTGCATATGTAGAAGTGTAGAATGAGTTTTGAATAACCTATATGAAGAACAATGAGATTAAATAACTCAACGATATTGATTTATATCGATATATTCACGGTAATGCAAAATTAGTGGTGGTGGCATCTTAATACGGTGTAGAAAACTTGAGAAAGCCCTTTCTCTGTATGCTCTGGTAATAAAAACAATGGTCTATAGTTCTTTAATATTTCATCATGCCTAAAACAATGTCATAGTACGACAATTTATTATGATATGTGACGATAACACTAGAGTTCATTTCAAAAGAAAAAGAAAGGCAAGTGAGTATTTTTTTTGAATAACTGTTGATAGAAACAAGATAGAGAACTATGATTTTCACCGTTGGAAAGCAGAAATGAAGAGGCATCGAATCATATGTTATAATTGTTTGTGATTTCGTTTTTCTTCAAGTTTTTCAATCAATCTGTTTATAAACCAACCGATCCTATGAAGTGTTTACATTGAATTTTTAATCATCTAAGGCGCATTCGAATTGCTGATCGAAGGCCTACAAAGTTGCGTAAGAGTGAGGTATTTAGATAAATTATTCAGATGTTATAAGTATTTTACTTGAAACTCTAAGTTGCTTTTTCTAGAAATTTTTATTAAAGCAAACACTTTTGCTCTTTAATTTTGATAAGAAAAATCATTTTTGTGACACTTGGTTATTTTTGGACAATAGATTTTGAAAGCTTCAGAAAACATATTAGAAGAATTTACTATATAAGATTCAATGCATCTTTATCTCTTCGTTTCAACGGTGAAGATCTCAGTTCTCTCTCATGTTTCTATTAAAAGTTATTCAAAAAAAGTACTCACCTGCCTTATTTTTTTTTCTTTGAAATGAAGATTAATGTTATTATCAAACTTCATCACTTACAATACTTATCGAAATTTAATTACTATCATATTAGTTGAAGAATAATGAAATATAGAGAAATGTAGCGCTTTGTTTTTATTACTAGTGCATAAAGAAAGTTTCCTGCAGCTTTCTATACGGTATTAAAGTGTCATCACTACTGCGAAAATGAAAGGAAAAACAATTATCTTTTTTTAGAAGTAGAAGACTCTAAGATGTTTTTTCAGATTTCATCTCAGCCATTACGTTTACATCCGTCGTATCGAATTGATTCGTGGGAGAATTGTGATAGATGACGCTTATGTATTGTGAACCATTATAATTTATTCTTAACCTTTCTCCCTATCTTTCTTTTACAACTAGTGAATTTTTCCCCAAATTTCTAGTTCACTATAATCGTTCCATTTCGCTATATTGTATTATTGTATTTGCATTTACTTCCATGTCATTAATAATGTAGTTAGATCATGCAAATAATAAACTACGTGGGGCATCCTTTTTTTGTTACACTAAAATATGTTTTATGGACGGAACGCAGTTTTTCTCAGCAAGAAAAAATGATTATAAAGTATGAAATTATTGATCGTCATTTCTTCTATTTTCCTTATCATATTCCAGCACCAACGACTTATTAAAAGTAAAGAATAAGTGTGAGGATTGAATGAAATAGCATTGTTGGTAATGGATTCAGTACATGTGTTAAGGTTTAAATTAACATCCTTATTAATTCTATTGTAACAGCAAAAAAATGTCTGTAATATATGTTGAATTATAACCAATATACTTAAAAATTTATTCATTCTCGCTATGTATCGATATCCACAGTACGGTTATCACGGTCAAATTTATCAGTGCGCCATCTGATACTGATTCTGATCAGGATAAATTTATCATAGTTCGATTTCTGGAATTCATTAAGCAAATTTTATTTGGTGCTAAAGTATTCACCATCAATAGGAATATATAACCCACTTTCTACGATACAAATTCAACGCTGCCTACTATTAATGATACTGAAGTGCAGCTTATTGTACAATACTCCAAAAACATCAATAGTAAGGTATCTGAAGGCATTACCTTTTCAATCCATCTTGTAGTTTGAACGGTATTTACTTTAAAGATTGAATTTATTCTTAGCGATTTCATGCAATAACATTTTTAAACTGTGTTGTCTAATCATAACAGTAAAGTTAGGTAAGTTTAAGATAGTAAAAAGGTTTTAGCATTGATTACTATAGTTTTTCGAAAACGATTTTGTTCACAGAATTAAAATAAACTGAAAGATTTCACCAAAATCAAGTGATTCGTAATTTTGGATGAACAATAGAAAAGGTATGAAGTCTTTGATCTGAAAATCCAAAAGAAACATGACACTGACTTGTCAATGTCTTCTGAAAAGATTGTCATGGGTGCTATTGTCAAGAATATAATATAGCTAATTGACGATTTTGTTTGTTTATTTCAGAAGCAACTCGTAACGCTAAACGCTAACAATGACGGCGCACTATTCTATCACAGAAGCAACAAAAAATGGATTGCTTTCTCGCGTCTTCTATCGCAACACTTAACTTCCATGCAATATAGGTAGATCTTTATAAAAATAACTACTTTCAGCGATAATTACAAATGAAGCTATGATCTTTTAATTGGTGAGTATATGTCTTTTCCTCATCACCTTAATTGTTCGTTCTTAAATATCTTATATTATTAATTTCTCCAACTAGAAGATTTCATTTCCATTCATCCAATGTTTTCGAAACTTACTGCCGTAGTATATGATTATATGCATTTAATTAGCATGAACGACACAAATGAAAATATATTAAGCACTGTCAGAAGATCCGAATAATATTGTTTCGCTTCTTACCGATGGCCCATCGCATTTTCATAACTATATTATTGCTTATGACATCGTTGTCGAGCTTCTTCAAACTTCAGATCGTGTTGAAAGTTGATATTTGTTAAGCAATATATTTACTCTCATTATAGTTTCGCCATATAGATCCGAATTATCCCCGATTTGTGTGGTTTGCATTATTATTATTATTACATCAAATGAAAAAACATAGAGATCGTTTTCGTTTACCATTACATTAAAATCAACTGTCAGCTATATGGCCAAAAACAGCTTTATGAAGTTAGAAATCTGGCTTCTCAAGGCTTATTCTGGACTCATACAAAATCAATCGTTGAACATCCATCAATTGCTAAATAACGATTTGATAGATTTTAAAAAACTTCTCTTCTCTTCGGAATTACTTTGTTGAATCACTTTGAGCTGTCATTGTAATACTTTTGAACTTTGTAATTGAAGACTCTAATATATTCATACTTCAGACTGCTGCTTATAACTTTTTATTCAATTTTATTCAACAAATTATTCAAATACGCGAACAGTGATTTGGTACTTTATGATCATTGTTTCTCAAGCAAGAAGACAGAGTACTTTTCTTTTCGTATCAGATTCGATTACTATTCTGTCATAGTTCAAATGCTGAGTTTAGGATACTCTGTTAACAGTATGATACAGGTATTTTTCTGTAGTTGGATTTTTTCATGTGTCTGAAAGAGTTTTTTTCTTGAAGAATTTAAAATGAGTTGTCCCTAGATACTCACATAGTTAATCTGCAGAAATATTTTCAATGTATGGAAACGGATATTGTCAAGTGCTTAATCAGGTTTCGTATAGATTTCTTCCAGTACTCATGTACTGAGACGATTTTTAGTAAGATCTCTGACTAAATATCTGTGACATATTTTAGTAACAAGAGACTTTTTTAAGTATCTTCGGTAGAATCGTCTCAATAAACGAGTACGCTAAGCTTAGTACTTGGGCTAGGGCAGTAACTTGTATGTGAAAACATCATGAATAATACACTGTCATTATAAGCATCCTAAATGTGATGATGAATTAAACTAAATAAGGTCTTATTAGCGAAAATCAAACGGATGTAAAAGAATATACAATTTGTGAAAACATAATAATATCGTAACTATCGAGTAGACTTGTATAAGTAAATTAGGTATGTATGGTTATTTTTCATAAAGATGCTGACAATATAATCAAGAATTACATCTTTTCCAGAACTAATTTAATTTATCAGCATTTGATTGCATTGCTATTAATGCTAATATAACTGTTTCATTATAAATGACTTGTATGCTAATGATACTCAAGTTTATTAGTTCGTTATGCGCTCTACAATTATACGTTGATTTACGAGAAAAGTAATACATATAAATAGATTAAAAGTCTATATTTAACTAGTACGAAAACATTTTTATCGATTTGTTCGTGATCATCAGTGATGTTATCTTCACCATTGGAATCAATAGTTGATGAAACAAATAAATATTATCAATCATCAACTTTTTTTTTGTTAAGATAATTATTGCTTTTCAAGTTTTCCTCTTTTGACAATATAAGCTAGATATGGTCAACAAATGCTTCGTTCAATCTAAAAAGTGTTAATAAAGAAGAAGGGACTTTGTTTCATTTGACATTTGAATGCTACATTATCATTTGTAGATATTTATAATTAATATTAGTCTAAAATGCGTCATAATAAATATCAGACTATCAGTTTTTTAAATATCGTTTGATAGGCAATATTCAATAAAGAACGAC